ATTGGTAATCAGTAATTTGCAGGCAACCAATTCGCGATATATTCCACATAAAGTTGATCGATGTTACAAAACCATTCATGGACCTTACTGGTTACCATAACCATTACCATTAATGTTCTCAAACCATAAGTTAAAAGGTTTTAGTATAGTTTTCTTTCCGAAAATGTATGGAGAAAACAAGAATTTTGAATGGTAATGGTTCTTAACAACCCATTATTTGTAAGGTCCACTTCCAAAAAACTATAATACTTAAGGTTAAAACTTTATCATTAAACGTTCATGTAAAGTTCCATAACCATTTCAGTTGAAGTTTGGCAGAGATTATAAACAATTTATAACCATTTTAGGTAAGGTCAATTTATGGTTCGCGCTTATGCGGGTTGTTCCTAAATAAAAAGCTACTTCAAGACAGGTAAATTACAGAAAACATGTTAAGGTTTGAAATCATCTGCCGATTAAACAGCAGACAAAGTTGGCCGACTAAATCCATCGACGAAAATCTATTAAATAGGCCGATTGCTCGGTGTAGCACCAGACGAAAAACGATTTAATCTGCTGATTAATACACCGACTGAAATTCATTTTTAAGTGGCGATAGATTTAGTCGGTGGACGAATCGGGTGATCTGGATGATGTTTGTTTATTTGGAAGATATTTTCGAAACAAAGCACGATAACTACTTTTTTGCTCGGATCATGTTTTGACTCCCACAGAAACTCGCTAGAATAAATACAAAATAATAGTTTTTTGGTTGAAATTTCAAAAATGTATTCAGTTTGACACATTATTTCGGACTTATCACCGCTGCGATTGCAGCGCCACGGTGGCCGATTGAAACTTGGATTTGTCAATAGCAACGTTGGATCGGGTTGCCAAATCAGCACACCCACTGTTCACCGAAACGGTAAGTTTCTATTTCCCAACCTGTTTGGCAACTGCCGGTGCGGTGTCGTGCTGTGTCGTGTTATGATGGTGGTTAGTAAATTGCGTTTAACAACGCACCAGTGCGCTTGGTCTAATGCAGGGAGAAAAGTCACGTCGTGGTGACGTGACTCTTCATTTGATTTGCACAGAGAGTCACGTCACCACGTCGTGATTTTTCTCACTTCACAAGAGACAAAAGTCACTTCAACTCTCCGAATAACCCCCAGTAGGCGCGGTATTGTGAAAACTACCTCGTTCACGGTTAGACCGGGCTTGTTTACTGTAACATGAATTTCTTCGGTTATTCCTATAGCTTCGCTATAGCGACACGTACTCTCGGTCGGCAGGTTTACTTCAAAGATTTACAAGAGTATTATGCGTTCATTCATGAATTTAACCAGAAATGTCTCGTAGAATGCTCTATTCATGGAAAAGCGCAAGAATCCTAACCGAGATAGTAAACTATTGGGGAATTGGTAAAACCAGTGGGATTTCTATACACACTTAGAAATTATTACTGACTTTGTGTATTTTTTACCGATCATTCAACAGCTGAACGTTCGGTAAAACTTTGACCCACATTGAAACGCTGCTACACTAAATTTTAATTTCAAAACACTGCCAACCTTATTTAAATAATCGAGTCTTGCCATTGGAAGATTGCCGCAAAAGCTCAACGCAGATGTCGCCACTGCATGATGATGATAATGTTGACAGACTGCATATAAAATTCGTGAAAATTAGCATTAAATTATAATTTTCATCAAGCCTACGTGAAATCCTTCCAATATAACATTCGAATTGAAGAAGAAAAAGTTTTTACGATCAGACTGATGTGCATCTTTGACTTTTTCAGGTGAACTTTCAAAAGATATATTCATTTCATTTCACAGCTCCATCAATGCTGCATCGTAAATATGATGGTAAACAGAAGTAAATTGCTCAATTACTCAAAATAAAGATGATTTGTCATCTTGTTATCACTTTGAAGACCATCTAGCATCATTTTATAGTATGGTGCTTGTTAAGTAAATCAAGTTCCGGTTCGTTTTCCGTCGAAAATTGTGAGTATCAATATGTTTGCTTAAAAAAGGCCAAAATGAACATTTATTGAATATTGGCGTCCTATACAACCAATTCTCTATTACCACCAGCATGATACAACCTTTCCTAAGTAAATGCACTTAATTTCCACTTTCATCTTAGTGAAAATCGCACATATTTACCATTTTCTGAAAAATGCAGCTGCGCAGGAGGTAACCTCTCCCTGTGGGTGCAAACTTGTTATGCATTATTTTCCATGAAAATATCTCCGATCCATACCGAAATAATAACAAATAGTTTTCAAACACGTTTTCTTACACGATTCAAGCAAAAGTTTCCACGGGAAATTATTAGTTTTTCTTTATGGACCGATTTGCCCCAAAAAGCGTCTGTTTTACTTAGAAAATTTGGAAACTATCCTCCTTCTAGTAGTTCTCACTTCGAAATGTAGGTGGCGAAAGCTTGGAAAAGTTTCGCTGCAAGACGCCAATTGGCGTCTTGCAGTGAAACTTTTCCAAGCTTTCGCCTCCTACATTTAGAAGTGAGAACTACTAGAAGGAGGATAGTTTCCAAATTTTCCAAGTAAAACAGATGATTTTTGGGGCAAATCGGTCCATAAAGAAAAACTAATAATTTCCCGTGGAAACTTTTGCTTGAATCGTGTAAGAAAACGTGTTTGAAAACTAATTGTTATTATTTCGGTATGGATCGGAGATGTTTTCATGGAAAATAATGCATAACAAGTTTGCATCCAAAGCGAGAGGTTACCTCCTGCGCAGCTGCATTTTTCGGAAAATTGTGAATATGTGCGATTTCCACTAAGATGAAAGTGGAAATTAAGTGAATTTACTTAGGAAAGGTTGTATCATGCTGGTGGTGATGGAGAATTGGTTGTATAGGACGCCAATATTCAATAAATGTTCGTTTTGGCCTTTTCTAAGCAAACATATTGATACTCACAATTTTCGACGGAAAACGCAACGGAACTTGCTTTACTCAACACGCACCATACTATAAAATGGTGCTAGATGGTCTTCAAAGTGATAACAAGATGACAAATCATCTTTATTTTGAGTAATTGAGCAATTTACTTCTGTTTACATCATATTTACGATGCAGCATTGATTTAGCCGCGAAATGAAATGAATATATCTTATGAAAGTTCAACTGGAAAAGTCAAAGATGCACATCAGTCTGATTGTAAAAACGTTTTCTTCTTCAATTCGAATGTTATATTGGAAAAAAAATACACAGGCTTGATGAAAATTATGATTTAACGCTAATTTTCACGAATTTTACATGCAGTCTGTCAACATTATCATCATCATGCAGTGGCGACATCTGCGTTGAGCTTTTACGGCAATTTTCCAATTTTGAAATCAAGTTTGAAATCTTAAAAGTAATGAATTAAAATACCTCATGTTTACCAAACACTTCAGCTGTTGAAAGTTCGGTCAAAAATACCGAAGTCGGTAATCATTTATAAGTGCGTAGAAATAATGTTAAATAAATTGAAAGCCAAGTTGAAAGCTAAAGTGTGGGTTGAAAAAATCTAGGAATTTATTTACCTGGAATTATGGTGTGGATTGTGAGGTTTTATTGGGCTATTGTGGGGTGTGTTCTATGGGTTTCAGCTGCTTTGGTACGAACCGGTGGTGTTTGCTGGCGGTCCGTGGCTTGATCAGTCCGTCAACAATGGCGGATCGGTGGGTTCGACGGGTCTGGAAGTTGGCGCCTGGTGACTGGAGCTGTGGTCACGACAATGGCGAAATGGAGGCTTGCGTCTGTGCGTTACGATGGCGGTTCGCAACAAGTGAATGTATTCTTAATTGGCTCATGTAAAGTAAATCTTCTAGAAATATTTAAAAAAGGGGAATTGCATTCATCTTTGCCTTGGGTATAGTCGCTTCAAGATCACAGACTATGATTTGCACTACTCTGGCATCCGGTGAACATGGCAACATGGTGAACATCTATGGTTTGGTCACGTTTGGCCATCAATGCTGGTAGTCAATTAGGTCACCAACCCTCTGGCAGATATTTTCGTTGCTTCCAGAGTTGGAACTTGAAGGGTTTGAAACAATCACAAAAGCAGTTCACATCACGCTACACACTAAAAATAATATCAGCATAATGCTCGTTAATTCTAACACATTCATGATGATCGATGAATAGTGGATGAAATCGGATAATATCGAAAGGCGCGCGTTAATTTATAACAAATCGAAGTTATCCAAAACAAATTCGAGAAAATTAAGCAAATTTTATTGACATTCGTTAAAAGAAATTTAAAACAGATTACTTTCGTCCCCCTCGACAAAACCACACTTTCAAACATCCTTCCGCCACGTGAAAAGCAATTTTTTTTCATAAATTCTAGCACCACTGCTAAGAATGTTGACATTTTTTTGAAAATAAATAGGCCTATTCTGCGCGGTGATGGTGAAGTGACAATTGTCACCTCGGGTGAGGTGACTCTCCATTTGATTTGCACGGAGAGTCGCCTCGACAGAGGTGACAATTCAGTGCTAACATTTGAAAACGGCGCAAAAGCCATTTGTAAACAAATGGTTTGTGGGCCCTTTACTCGCTACCCGAAGGACGCCCACGCAAACCAACAGCATCGTCAGGTAGGGGAAAATTTCCCCTACTCGATGTTGCTGTTGTGTCGCGTGGGTGTACTTCAAGTAGTGAGTAAAGGGCCCACAAACCATTTGTTTACAAATGGCTTTTGTGCCGTTTTCAAATGTTAGCACTGAATTGTCACTTCACAAGTGACAGCGTGTCACCTCACTTCACACGCTGCGCAGAATAGGCCAAAAAAGATGCTAGGACTGCCTGCACGGTAAGCATGAGCATGATTGGCCGCCCACGGTTGCTACTCTGTTATTGCCAGATCAGCTGTAATTACACAGAGAACCCGAAGCAGAAGGTGGCAGAGCGACTTACCCCTTAGGTAGAAGTTAAATAGCATATTCAATTACCGTTGACGGTAGAATGTTTCTTTCACATAAAATACAGCGCCACCAGCATTCTTCAATGACTTCAAAAAAGCATTATTTTATTTCCTGTTCTTTTCTCTGTTGTTGATATTCAAACAAGGAGGTGTCGTACTTTACATTTGGTTTTACGTACAATTGTTTTCTGTTGGGTTTCTCCCGACGAAACTATCGCTATTGTTCCTGTTTGTTTGCCAGGCAGATTGAGAGATTGGTTCCATTCAACAAATGTATGTGTATGTGTGTGTGTGTGGGAGTGTTTGTTTGTTTGTGTTTCTGAAAGGGTTTCGTACCCGTGTGTATGTTTGTGTTTTTCTTTGTAAGCTTGTAGCAATACTCTTTGAATGAGTCATTCACTTCGCTTTCGTAATGTTTTTGACTGACTGACAACAGTGTGTGTGTGTGTGTGAGTTCGTATTTGTAAGTTAAGAGCGCAATAAGAGAAATTCAATTCAAACGAGAAACGTTTAACTTCTGTTTATCCATAAGATTCGAAATTAAACACAACTGAACATTTCAATTCAAGCTGCCGCTTCGTTCCGGAAAATTAACTAAACCTTCCTGAGTTGTTCCTTTTGCTGCTTTGTTCTCTTTGACGTCGTATAAGGAGACTCGTAAAAGAAGAGTAAAATGGCAGTGTGGCAAAGAATTCATACATCAGCCATATTGGTTAAAACGTGCTGAAATGAAAAAAAAAACAGAGTCATTTAGCAACAGATGAATTTCTTCCCGATACTGAACACACTTACATTCTGTAGTAAATCCTCAACACCGATCCTCCCGTCGATTCAGATGTAGATTCTCCTCCCGACAGGAAGACCCAAAAAGCTTTCGGCTAAACGTACTCGGTACAGGATAATCTCGTAACCCGGCTTCCTCGTCGTGCTTGGACATCGCAATTTTCGGGCGGCAGCCTAACGATTCACAACTATAACAATAACTCAACTCTAATGAAACAATACAAAGGAACGAAATAACTGCTTCAGCTCAAACCACCTACTGTTCTCTTTCTAAATTGTTCTATTGTTTTTTTTTTCTTCTGATTCATTCTATTTATGTGTTATACAACTACGGAAAATTCGAAAACGATAACGCAGTAAGTTAGAAGTTCGATTCAATGTAAACGCAAAATTTGCCTGCTCTTCGATTTTTCTAAGCTTTTCGAATAGTTTTACAAGTGAAAAAGAAGAGAGCTTTCTAGAATCTGTTCATTTCTCCTCGCTTCTTTTTTTTTTTTGGTTCAGAGACATCGTCCCTCAATTTTCTTCTGACATTTTTCATATAAAAATTAGTGCTGGGCGATATATATTCTGCGATTTTTTTTATAACTTTGTCCGTTTGCGTTGATTAGTTTTCAATTTGTAATCTAGTCTAGAGTGAAATTTGTTACACTTGTTTCTTGGTAGTTCAGCACTTTGCAAAAGACGTACAAATGTCTTGGAAACGGAATCGATCTGTTTTAACACGCTGTTCGATGCTTTTCGTTCGCGATTTGAGCATCGAAGATGAAATTTCCTCTTTAACAATATACAAGTGCCATTTATTGGGTAGTTTTAGAAAGGAAGCGAAACTATAGGAACGCTCCTCTCTTTCTGCAGAGGGGAGGCACGCGCAGAAAGTACGAGAACAACTTTTCTGTACAGAAACTAATGTACGGGAACAAGCCTTCTTACACTAAAATTGGTGGAAAGAAATGCAAACCTTCCCTTAAATCTGGTAGAACCAATCACATAAAAACGAACGGAAAACACAGCTATCGAATGTTGATCATAGAAAATTGGCAACGCTAATTTGAACGTATAAAGAGAAAGTTAAGAACGGCAAGCAAATCCCAAAACTAGCACATCTGTTCTGTTTTTGATTGGGAATTGAATCACTATCTATACTCGTCTCTAAGTCTGTCATTTTCTTATCATCGATATCATCTACGGATTCGCACTTTTTTTTTTTAATCTAAAGTACCTTTGTTATTCTTTAAGTAAATACTTCTAAACTTCAACTAATAATAAGATCAAATGTGTAACTAGTTATTAGATTCTCATTAGTGTGAATGTGGCTGAACATGTCCATCTTAGGTTAAGTACATCTTCGCTGCTTGAAATGTCTTTTCTGCACCTGCTATCACCTACGGTCTCACACTTCCCGCCAAAACGTGGGAATGAACCATTCCCCGGCACCTTAATCGTCGCTTAAAAATGACTACAGTTTGAATTTGAGTTGAGTTCCCCCGGGTACGTCGTCTATCATGCGCTGCCATATATGTTAGGTCATTCGTCATCATTTACATAATACGTCTAAATGGAGTTAGTAGAATTTCGCGGATTCAAGAAAAAACCTAATCGAGCCGTCCTCTCCCTCCTGGGGCTTCTCCCCAGGGATTGTTATCGATGCCCAACGTAAACATCGGGTAGCCATTTCGGATGTTTTTTTTTTTTTAATTAACTGCGAGAAGAGGACGACGCTAGAACCTAAAGCGAGTAAATTCGCGAAATCGATCGAATATTTACATTTAACCGCCGACGAAATTGCTCCAGCCGAAACGTAAACGTGCGAGTCCTACGCAGTTGGTAACTACATGGTTCCCACAAATGTTAAAAAGAATCTATCAGATCGAACGCATTCGCAATGCCGTTCACCTGCTCGACGACCTTCCACTTGTACTTGAGGGCCTTCTCCGTGAACGGATCGTCGGTTTGGATGTCGATGTTCTCGAACGAATTGGGCAGCACTAGGCGGAAGGCATGCAGAAACATACGCGGCGGCGACGTGTCGATCTTGAGACTGTACGTGTAGTCCCCGACGATCACGTGCCCAATTTGGGAACAGTGTAGCCGCAGCTGGTGCCGCCGGCCGGTTATTGGTCGCAAGAGCACTTTGGTGACCGGTTTCCCATTGTAGTAGCCCCGATCGAGCACCAGCACCTTGGTGATGCTGCGGCGCGGATTTTGGCACAGTTCATCCTCGAGGATAGTGCACATCTTCTTGCTGGTGTCCTTGAATCGGATGTCCTCGCCTGGAAGAAGAAGCCGAAAGAAGCGACGTTAGGAGGTGGAAATATATTATGTAATGAATATCCGGCAACTTTCTCCCACGGTTGGCTTTGCGCTAGGTAATTTCCCCAAGACTTGTATTTCGAACGGATAAACAAAGGAATCAAAGGAAGAATATGTACTGCTTGTAATGCTTATTCTGATCTTCTATTTACCCAAAACACACTGATGGGGCAATTCGGCATTAAGAGAAGTCTTGAGAATTGATTCCTCAGACGTATAAGCATAGACTAACACTAAGACCAGAGGGTCCCGAGTCAACATGCACCATTTTATGGCTTAGGAAATACCAGACCTTCGGTCCCAAGCTAATTAACCATTTAATCAAGCTTCTGCATTTAATTCCATCAGATGTGACTGCTGTTGTTTGCGGTGACATCTATCGGAAACTACGCATAATCTGTTTTTCGTTAATTGTTCGTCCTCTGTGAGTTGCAAAACATGTCTGGTACCTCTATATTTGCATTTAGATTAACATCCGAAGTCCCTTCTTTTTATTAATGATGACATTAAACGCTTATAATTCAAGACCAACAATTGAAATGGCCTTAACAAACTGTAAGGCCATTTTATCACGAACGGAAGTCCGCAAAGGCAAACCAACATAATGAACAGGTAGGACACCCCAAAATGGTGAGGACCACAGGGGAAAGAGCGTCCAACATAGCTATGGTCTTCACAAGCTCCTACCTCACGCTTCCACGTGTCGGATGATGACAGCCAGTATATGCCCATATATGTGCTGGTAGTGGGGTGTGGGCAATGTCATCACGATTAACCCATATCGTGATGATAGCAAGGCTGAGGAGGTGCGAATCGTCGAGCGTCTGTCCACCAGGTGGTGCGGCTCGAACAGCGTCTGTCTGGGATCCACCGGCTGAAAAAGAAATGTTGAATCGTGTCAACTAAACCTAAGATGGCAGCCCCATCAATACGATGTATCGATGAATCGCGACCCTGGTACGGTAGCATACTGAATTATAAAAGTACTCAGAAAAATTAAGTAAGAAGAAGAAAAAACGAACGGAATTTTCGGCAACTGACCCAACGGCAACGAAATAAGGACAATGAATGGAAACTCGGTTCAAGGAATGTTAGAACGTTAAATGAACCTGGACGAGTGGGCCTTCTGGCCCGTGAACTGCAAAAGGTGAATGTGAGTGTGGCTGCTATTCAAGAAGTACGGTGGCTTAGATCTGGAGAACGTGAATTCAGGGCGGTAGATCCTATCGCCAACACATCGTTCAAATACCATATCTACTACAGCGGTGGCGATAGAGCAGAACACGGAGTTGGTTTCGAAAGCCTGTATAAAACCTATGATGAGTGCCCTAAACACGACGTGAAGATTATCATCGGAGATGCAAACGCGCAGGTCGGAAGAGAGGAATTCTTTCGCCCAATCATTGGAACAGAGAGCCTTCACTCTGCAACGAATGATTATGGCCTGAAGCTGATAAACTTCGCTGCTGCTCGTGATATGGCCATCAGTAGCACCCACCACTTTGCACGCAAGGATATCCGAAAGCACACCTGGAGACACCCTAATGGCGAAACTTGCTCCCAGATCGACCACGTGTTGGTGGATGGTCGGCATTTCTCGGATGTCGTAGATGTCAGGACCTTCTTTACTTACTTAAGGGTCCTGTGCACCACCAGCGGTGCAAAGGGCCAACGTGAAAGACTTCCATCGTGGGCGGCTGCTCGCTTTTGCCTTGACCTGGGCCCAGGTCAGATTCCTATCGACTTGCTTAATTTCTTTATTGAGGCTCCGCCGCCATGAGCCCCTGGGTCTGCCTCTGCTGCGATGTCCTGCCGGATTCCAATCCAGCGCTTGCTTGTTGATTTCGTTTCCACCCCGTCGAAGTGTGTGGCCGACCCACCTCCACTTTCGCTCTCGAATTTCTGTTGCTATCGGCTTCTGATGACATCGACGATGGAGCTCGGCATTCGAGATCCAGTTGTGAGGCCACCAGGCACGAATTATATACCGCAGGCATCGGTTGATGAAGACCTGCAGCTTTTGAGTGTTCTCCGCTGATACACACCACGTCTCGCTGGCGTATAACAACACAGATTTCACGTTCGAGTTGAAAATTCGGATTTTGGTGCGTTGACTTATCTGGTTGGATCTCCATACGTTTCGTAAACTCGCAAAGGCAGCCCTAGCCTTCTTGATTCGTGCACCTATGTCGCTCTTGGCCCCCCCGTCCGACGCTATTTGGCTGCCAAGTAATTGGAAACTTTCGACCTTCTCCACTGCTTGCCCCGCTACCGTAAAGTTGGAAGGGTTGCCCGTGTTGATATCCAACGATTTGATCTTGTTGACGTTGATGGTGAGACCCGCCGCAGAGGAGCGTTCGGCTAGGTCATTGAGCTTACTCTGCATATCAGAGCGCCGTTGTGCTAGTAGAGCAACATCATCAGCCAAATCGAAGTCATTGAGATGCTCCATGGTGATAGGCTGCCAAAGCAGCCCACGGTTCGGTACACGGTCAATTAATTATATGATTTGAGTAGTAGCTATACTGAAGATCCGAGAGATGTCGCCCCTTCAGTGGTAGGAAAATCATTTTTGCAGTATGGAGAATATCAGAAAATCCACGATTTGTGACTAAACATGCTTTCACAGAAGGAAACAGATAAACGAGTGTTTACCTTATCACCATAGTAATGTACTCGTGCAATTTTTGTGCATCTAAAACTGCCCATAAAGACGATAATGAATAAAAACTGAAAATTTTCATGCATTTCCAAATGGTTTCCTACCATTCCCATACATTCGAAAGTGACTGGCCCTCTGGATGTGGATGATCTCAAAAACAACAAAACATGATTAATTGCACCTACCATGATCTCGTCGATTACGATGAGAAACAGTAGCGGTGATAGTATACATCCTTGTCTCACACCAGCGACTACCCGTATAGGGTCGGACAAGGCTCCGTTATGCAGAACTCTGCACGTGAAAGCCTCATACTGCGCTTCGATGAGGTTGACGATTTTATCCGGGACGGACTTGCGTCTCAGGGCGCCCCACAGATTCTCGTGATTGAGACGGTCGAAAGCTTTTTCGTAGTCAATGAATACCAAATAAAGGAACTCTTGGAATTCATTGAACTGCTCCAGGATGATGCGGAGCGTGACAATATGGTCCACACAAGATCTTCCGGCACGGAATCCTGCCTGCTGCCGTCGGAGAGTCGCGTCGATCTTCTCCTGTATCCGATTCAGGATAACTTTGTACAGAACTTTGAGAACAATACACAGTAACATGATGCCTCGCCAATTGTCGCACAGTCAGATCCCCTTTCTTTGGGACCTTCACTAAGATGCCCTGCATCCAGTCGGCCGGAAAAGTCGCGGTGTCCCAGATATTACAGAATAGTTGATGCAACATTTGTGCGGATAGCATGGGGTCAGCTTTGAGCATCTCTGCTGATATGCGATCGACCCCTGGAGCCTTGTTGGATTTCATGCTTCGGTTAGCTGCCTTCAGGGGTCCTAATATCGACTCGGATCACTACCTCGTTGTCGCGAAAATTCGAGCGCGTCTATCGACCGTTACGAGTTCGAGAAACCGGAGATCGATGCGTTTCGACATCCAGCGTTTGACAGTAGATGGTGTTGCTGCCGAGTACCACCAGAAGCTGAATGAGTGGATAGCGGAAATCAACGTGAACGAGAATCTCAACAATCTGTGGGAAGCTGTCCACGGAGCGGTGAGCACAACAGAACGAGAGGTGATAGGTACAGCTTAGAGGCGCCCCCGAAACGGGTGGATTGACGAGGAGTGCCAGCGAGTGACAGAGGAGAAGAACGTCGCCAGAAGCCGGATGTTGGTGTCTGGTACCCGTCAGAACAGAGAGCGGTACAGGGTAGCAAGGTCAGCCGAGAAACGAACCCATCGCAGGAAAAAAAGGCAGTACGAGGAACGCGTTATTGCTGTGGCGCAAGAAAATATGGAGCGGAATGATATGCGAAGGTTTTACGCAACTGTCAATGGCGTGTGGAGTAAGGCAGCGCCGTCTCCCACCATGTGTTATGACCGTGAAGGTAATCTGCTGACAGATAAAACGATGGTGGCTGCCAGGTGGAAGGAGTACTTCGAGACGTTGCTGAACGGAGAGAACGAGAGAGCATCTACAAACAGAACACACATCGACGACGATGGTCAAGCTGTGTGGAACCACCAACGTGAGGGTCGATCAACGACGGATCAAATGTTTACCCTGCGTCAAACCCTTAAGAAGTTCCGGGAATACAACTTGCAGACTGATCATCTGTTCATAGAGTTTCAAGGCAGCGTACGATTCAGTATTCAGATGGAATTTGTTTATCTTGGTACTTTAGTGACGTGCGATAATGATGTTACCCGCGAGGTGAAAAAGCGTATTGCAGCCGCGAACAGGGCTTTCTACGGGTTGCGTAGCCAGCTGAAATCCCGCAGCTTGCGTACGAAAACGAAATTCGCGCTGTACAAGACGTTGACAATGCTCGGCGGTAAACTGGAAAATGGCATCTGGCGGCGTCGCATGAATCACGAGTTGTACCAAGTATATAATGGCATGGATATTGTGAAGCTAATAAAACACGGCAAGCTACAGTGGGCTGGACATGTGGCACGAATGTCGGAAGAGCGTCAAGCGAAGTCAATATTCAGCAGGGAACCCGGAAGAGGACGTCGGCTTCGGGGTAGGCCACGCACGCGTTGGCTTTGTGCAGTTGAGGAGGACATTAGGTCCTTGAACGTCCAAGGCGACTGGAAGCGATTGGCTTGTTTATAAAATGGAGTTAAGGCCATTTCAATTGTTGGTCTTGAATTGTTATTAAATGGTTTTCAAAAGTGACAGGTGAAAAGTCATAATTCTTATCAAGGCGCAGCATGACCCGGATAGACCAAGAAGGAAGTCCCACAGGATCAGGACCAGGCCAGGCTGAACCAGGAATATCGAGGCTACCA